GGGACGGCGGCGAGCCCAGTCGCGGCACCGCTCCCCTCCAGGTGCCGCCCCAAGCACAAGCTTGGTGGGCTGGTGCCTGGAGCCGGCCCTGGACCCCGGGCCCTGCACTGGGAAGGAGCTGAGTGCCCAACCCTGAAAATCTCCCCACCAATACTTAGGCTCTGTCTACACGACTACTCAGACCTGCCTGCCCCCAGTTAGTGACGTGGTAGGCTCTAGTCATGGCTTCTGTCCACACACAACATGTTTAATCACAGTGAGAGGAATTAATGACACTGAAATCTCCATCACTTGGCGTCTGTCCATCCAGACTGGGCATCTCGTGCTAGATGATCTGCTCCAGCTCAACCAGAAGTGACGGTCTCAGTGCAGGAATCGCTGGCTGGGATTCTCTAGCTTTTGCTATGCAGGAGATCAGACTAGATGGGCATAGTGGTCATTTGTAGCCTTAAAGCCTATGAAGCTGAGGGGGGATGTGATTGCTCTCTATAAATAGATCAGAGGGATACATACCAGGGAGGGAGAGGAATTATTTAAGCTCAGTACCAATGTGGACACAAGAACAAATGGCTATAAAGTGGCCATCAGGAAGTTTAGACTTGACATTAGACGAAGGTTTCTAACCATTAGAGGAGTGAAGTTCTGGAATAGCCTTCCAAGGGGAGCACTGGGGGCAAAAGACATATGTGGCTTCAAGACTAAGCTTGATAAGTTTATGGAGGGGATGGTATGATTGGGATAGCCTAATTTTGGCAATTAATTGATCTTTGACTATTAGCAGTAAATATGCCCAAACGCCTGTGATGGGACACTAGAGAGGGTGGGATCTGAGTTACTACAGAGAATTCTTTCCTGGGTGTCTGGCTGGTGAGTCTCGCCCACATGCTCAGGGTTTAGCTGATCACCATATTTGGGGTCGGGAAGGAATTTTCCTCCAGGGAAGATTGGCAGAGGCCCTGGGGGTTTTTCACTTTCCTCTGCAGCGTGGGGCAAGGGTCACTTGCTGGAGGATTCTCTGCACCTTGAAGTCTTTAAACTACAATTTGAGGACTTCAGTAGCTCAGACATAGGTTACGGGTGGAGGAGATTCTGTGGCCTGCGTTGTGCAGGAGGTCAGACTAGACGATCATAATGGTCCCTTCTGACCTTATAGTCTCTGATTCTATGAAACTCATATTCTGCCCTAGCCACATTTGTTTTACTGGTTTGGCCCATGTTTTTTTTCACTTTTGATGAGACCCGTAACTGTGTCTGTCTAACTGCTGTCGTCTTCTGTTCAGCTCTCTGGGTAAGCAGGCCATCCTTGTGCTGTGTTGCTCTGTGCGCATAGCCAACGGGCATTCTGCTCACAATATCCCAGCAGGCACTGAGCCACATACTTGAAGCAGGTCCAGAAGACTGGTTGGCACATGGGTGTGTTCTATATGGACACCCCTCATTGCTGGGATGAGGTGGAAGGAGCGTCACAAACTCAGTACTGAAAAGGAAGAGGCTGCCCCTCAGCCAACCCTAGACCTCACTAAACTGGGCAGCACTTGGGGTGGAATTTTGACGTCCGTGGAATTCTAGTCTTAGAAGTTTCTTTGTGAAAATAGCCTTCGCAGACACAGCTCACGTTTCCGTAGCTGGAACGTTCGTGTCTTTTTGATGCTCAAGCCAGAATAGCATCCTTCTCACACGCCGCTGACCCTGCTGGCTTAGCAGTGAACATGTCGAGGGCAGTGTGTTAATCAGACAGCACCAAGGGCACACGGAGGGAGAAAAGCTATTGAATAAGGAGCTTCCACTTTTACCAAGTACATTTTCTGACCAGGACTGCACTTCAGCGGGTACATTATCCGAGGCATTAAGCACCAGTCTCTTCTGCTCCTGTCTCCATTGTGCATGTTCTTTTTCCATTTGTTCCTCTCCCCCCCCCCCCAGCACTAGACTGTTAACAAATACTTCAGGGCACTGCTAATGGCGGCAGTATCTCTTTAGACTAAGTTTCAAAACTCCACTTATGGCCAGGAAGCAACTGGTCGTGTGTAACCGGCTGCGTTAACAATGGCTTTATGGCCACCACAGGCGTCCCGAGAGTGACTTTATAGGACACCTGCACAGTATCCTACTCCTCTGGGCATTTGAAATCCACTTTCCCCCTTGAACACAAGAAGCCCCCAGATGGATCCCGTATCCCATAGCAGCGTGTGTAGTGGTTGTCTCAATAGAAGATAAGGATATGGACACAGCTGTATTTTGTGACTGTTGTGTCACACTACCCCAGGCTTTGATGTGCAAATAGTGCTTTTCTCTCCGTTACCCAGTAGTGTATAGTTCTGACTTTTTGTGTGTCATTGAACATAGAAGATTCCAGTGTGCAGTTTACCCACATCCTTCCCAGGGAGTTATGGGGTGTTAGGTACTTTTCTGTATCCTGGAACCTTTTTCTGACAC